TTCTTCTACATTTCATTTTATTACTTTTTATAATATGAAAGATATAAAATTAATGTCTGAACAGAAGTATCATAATGTGTCACAGACACAGCAATTTAGAAATTGAGAGAGCCATCTGGATAAGATCGAAGAGAGCTGGCTTCAGTATCAGATGTAAGCAAGCATTGAAATCTAGTCATAACATATCTAATGTTCTCTCACCTTCTGTAGATGGAAAATGTTAGTATTAAAACCTCAGAAATCCTCAGAAAGAGAAATGTCATGCAGAGTGCTGGCACTCACTGGTACAATGATGTCACTGCTGGATGGATCACTCTTGGCAGACTTTATTTACTTTGCGCTTCGCAGTAAAATGGAACATTTGAAACTTCTGGCATACTACATCCACTAACCTGGTTCCTTCTTTTAGGTCATAATCTTTTCTTCAAGCACAGGAATCTTGGTATACCTCTCAAAAGAATCAGAAATCTATGCTAAAAAGAAGAGTTAAGAGTTAAACAGAAAGAAAGTGAGGAAAAAACTTAACATACCAAAAGACCTGTTGTCTGTACCTTTCCAAAATATGTCTCCAACAACATCCCCAAATATATCAATCAGACCAGTTTCCTTTGACTGGAAGATGTGGAGTACTGTAGCTCCATAGCTCTTTCTCTAGCAAAGAAACCAAGAAGTGGGCTAAGCAAGACCAGCTGATACAGATACAGATCCAGCTACGTGCTTGATACATCCTGACAGTTTTGGGGTAAGATGTGAAAATGCAACTACCTCTTTTGCATGATGGTTCCTGTGCCAAGAAAAATACAATTGCGCAGGCAGAAACTACAGCATTCTCTATCTTAGCTGACCAGCAGATCGTGTGTCCACAGACAGTCTTTGTAATTTTAATTCTTGTGTGAGAACATATTTGCAGTATGCTGGTTTTTCCCCCAAGATCTTACTCCACAAAGAGAATACAGTGCTCATGCTGTCACTCCCTTTTTTTTTCAGCATGATTCAGCTGAGCATGGTACATGGGATTTACCTACGGTCATGTCTCCATTAACATAATCTCAGTCAAATGAGTAGCTTTAATTTTTGCATCAGTATTAGTAGCACACACAGATATAACTGCTGTGCTGATGATCAGTATGTTGTTTGTGTGTGAGAAAAATATGTGGGATTGAAGCAAAGAAAGAGCTTTTACATGACCTTTGTGAGTAATAGCATGGCTGTCTGGAGAATTGTTTGGTACCAAAAAGTATCATGGCAAATTCTAGATCTTTTTTTTTTGCATCAAGGTCCAAGAACATCCTTATGGACTAAAATTTCTCCTGGTGTAATATAGGTGAGTGCAAAGTCTCCGAATTATAGTGACTGAATATCCAGGTAGTACAGAGAAATGTCGTCTACAAACTGAACTATAAAGACAGAATAGGAATGGGGAAACCTTTGTGGCTTTGCGGGTAAGGTATCCCAGGTTCTTTGTGCATGTAAAATATTTTTTAAAAGAACATAATGGATTTTTTTCCCTGGATGGTTTGCCAAGGTAGCCAGCTTTCTGGAGTTTGTAACTATCTGACTGAGCAGACTGATTGATTAGATCCAAGGGGCCAAAACTGCTAACTCATGGCTACAAACAAATATGTGGTGCAGAACAAACAATTGTTAAGTTTCGTTACTTCAGTGTAAAAGGTCCAACTGAGCTTATCTAAATGTTCTGTAACTGTCATATGAATAGTGGTTCTCTAGTAAATTGATTATTAAATATGTAAAGTAACTGCAAATACAAAACCTAAATTCAATTGCTGAATTGAAATAAAGAGGAAATGTAATTTTGCACTAAGGAACATGTTCAAAATAGGTTTGAATGTGGAGTTGCCTCCAATTTATTTATAATTCAGTAAGTGCATATGAACTATTTAAATGCCTTTTGATTGTTGACTTGAATATATAGGCTTTGATCTCAAAGTATGTCTGGGTTTTCCTATAACAAGGCAGGAAATACAGTTTGACTAGTAAACAAGGCTCAGTGGAATCAAGCATTAACCATTCTCCACGTGTCTTCAATTGCTACTAATAGCTACTGCACTCACAGAACAGAACAAATTACCTGCTTTGGGAGGCACTTCCTGTGTGTTAGCATGTTTAAAAACACACTTATGCACACAAATAGCAAAATATAGATCTCAGAAAGTATGTTAGCAATGAAATTGCTTTTTTATACTTTCAATAAAGAACTGTCCACAGATTCCTAAATGCAGCAGAATTTCTTAAAAAACATGAAGTGCAATCAGTGCTGATCTGAGAGAGAACAAAAAACATTCAGGTGTTTCAAGTGTAAGTATCAGACTGTATAAGTGCAAAAATGGCCTGATTTGCTACAGAGTAAACCTTGACTTTAGAGAAAATCAAACAAGCTGTTCTCATTCCTGTATCTTTAAAAATTTGTTTCAATAAAAAAATCAATGCGACTTTACTTGGATTCACATATAATTTAGTAGACTGCTTTGTCAGCTATGTAAAAAAGTGCCAGTCTAGGTTTAATCTGAATTTTAACATGCTCAGCATCTTTAGTTGTAGATCAATATTATGGAAGTATGAATAAAAGAGTTCAGTTTTGTCCTGTTTTGAGGTGTGCTGCTTTCCTTTACATGTTATTCACAAAATACAGGCCGTCCGGTGCCCAAACCTAAGAATGTTACTCTTGAACTTGTAGGTAATAGTTTTTGAAAATAACATAATTTCTCTGATGCTTTAGACAAAATGTAATTCTTGGGCCAAGAAGCAAAGTTATTTTATAAATTATAGCGATTGCGTATCTGCTTTCAAAATCTTTATCCTAGTATTTCAAAACAGATTAATTGCTTTCTAGTAAAACCTGGCACTACCATAGAATAATCATTTACTGCAAAATTTCTTTCAAGATCAGTTTAAATTGAGAAAAATATATTTGTCCATTATGTTAAACATTCTTGCCTTTGACCATTATTTAAACATGCTAAATCAGGTTGTTTTAATTTGGCAGAAAAGAAGATATGTGAGAAGTAAATTGAATACTCTGTTTATGTTAATCTCCTGTATAGTAATGCAGACAGTATTGAAAAAATCCAAAAAAGATAGTTGTATCTTCTGGAAATGACAGAATTCCTGTAACTGTTTAAAAATTAATAATCAGATCAGGCTAACTCAGTAAAGTTCTAAAGGTAGAAATAGCCTAGATGTATAGCAAGAAACATCAAGAGATGTTCAAATTAGCCAATTAGCACTGGCCAGGTACGTGCTCTGTCAAAGGCATCTTTAACCTATTGTCTGTTTTGCTGCCAGTTATCATAATCCTCATGTTCTTGTTGTGGACTTATCTGGTAGAGCAAGGGGCCTGTTCCAGTCCGTCCTTCGCTAAATTAGCAAAAAGATGCCACTCTTGTTTTGCTGGCTTGAAAGGCATTTTGTTTAGTCCTATGTGAGGAGAGAGAAGATGCACCGTTCCCCACACATAGAATCATAGATTATTAGGGTTTGGAAGCGACCTCTGGAGATCACTGAGTCCAACCCCCCTGCCTGAGCAAGACCGCCTAGGACAGGTCACACAGAAACACATCCAGATGGGTCTTTAAAATCTCCAGAGAAGGACACTCCACAAACAATCTGGGCAGCTTGTTTCAGTGCTCCGTAACCCTTACAGTAAAGAAGTTTTATCTCATGTTTGAATGGAATTTCCTGTGTTCTAGGTTGCACCCTTTGCCCCTCATCCTATCACAGGGCATTACTGAAAAGAGATTGGCCCCTCCTTCCTGACACCCACCCTTCAGATATTTGTATACATTAATAAAATCCCCTCTCAGTCTTTTCTAGACTAAAAAGCCCGAGGCCCCTCATCCTGTCCTCATAAGGCAGCTGTTCCAGTCCCTTAATCATCCTCGTAGCCTTTCAGTGTAGGGTTGAAGTAAATCCCCATCCCTCCTAAACTGAGAATCCCACAACTGGACACAGTACTCCAGATGGGGTCTCTGATTCCCATCAGTTCCACACCTCAGGCATTGAACAAATGACTAATGGAAAGAATAAGATGCCGAACAGATGGGAAGGTAAACCCCAGCAACCACAAGGCCACATTGCTGTCCCATGGTTAACTTGTCCACCAGGACTACAAGGTCCTTCTCCAAGAAGTTGCTTTCTAGCAGGTCAGCTTCTAATCTGTACTGATGCATGTTGTTATTCCTCCTCAAGTGCAGGACTGTACACTTATGCTTGTTGAACCTTATTAGGTTCCTCTTTGCTCAGCTCTCCAGTCTCTCCGAATCTTGCTGAATGGCTGCACAGCCTGCAGGTGAATCAGTCAATCCTCCCCGTGTTGTAGCATCAGCAAACTTGCTGATGATACACTCTGTTCTCTCATCCTGGTTGTTGATGAAGATGTTGAACAGGACTGGACACGGCACTGATCCCTGGGGAACTCCACTAGTCATGGGTCTCCAGCTGGACTCTGCACCACTGATCACTAGAGCCCTCTGGGCTCTATTGTTTAGTTGGTTCTCAGTCCATCTCACTGTCTACTCTTCTACCCCACACTTCCTGAGCTTGCTTATCAGGATGTTATGGGAGACAGTGTCAAAAGCCTTGCTAAGGTTAAGGTAGACTACATTCACTGTTCTCCTTGCATCTACCCATTCCATCACAACATCATAGAAGGCTATTATTTTAGTCAAGCATGATTTCCCCTTGGTAAATCCATGCTGACTACTCGTGATAAACAACTTCTCTTCCATGAGCTTAGGGATGACCTTCAGAATGAGCTGCTCCGTCATTTTTCTAGGGATGGAGGTGAGGCTGACTGGTCTGTAGTTTCCTGGATCATCCTTCTTGCCCTTCAACAATTCTAATTATACAAAAAGCAAACGGTTTTAGGGCCTCTAGCTAACCCAATGATGTGGATTTGGTAGCTTAAACTGTTCCTTTGACCTACCAACTTCTGACAATCGTTTTGTGCCTGATGTGTATTTTTTCTTGTGTTTACCCTACAGGGCTCTATGAAAACTATCCAACCAATGCAGAACCAGAATGCTGTGATGTCAGATGGGGACTATTATCAGATCATCAATCCAAAGGGACTATAAAAACAAGTGGCTCAACAATGTGTCACAGGACATCGCTCACAGTTTCATCAGCATCAAGACTGTGTAACAGCAGACTTAAACTGTGTGTTCTTGTATTAGTTCTCTTGCATACAGTACTTACAGTCTCAGCAGCACAGAACTCAACTGGACTGGGCTTTGGAGGCATAACAAATTTGGAAGATAATTCAACCAATGAGGACTGAAAGAAAGGATTCATCTTACATGATAGAAACACAACAGGCCCAAATGACTACAGTCAAAAATAGCAAGGACTGAGTTCTTTATGCTCAGATCTCTTCTGGAATGACCTTTTGGGTAAAAGGAAAAGAACGGGCCAGTACCCAAACAACAAGGACACATGAACACAGCTTTTTATTGACTAAAAGGCTGTATGGTGACTTAAATTTCTCACACCATTTTATACACTGTGTTTTAATGTTTGGAGTTTCTTTTTTGTTTGTTGTTTTTTTTTGCACTTGTTAATACAGGATTTTATTTTTGGGACGGTTTCTCAAAGCTAAATTAAGTCTTTTCTCTGTTGATATATTTCTAGTCATTGTGTGTGTTCATCTGATAGTTCTGTCTTTTATGTCCTGTCAGTTTCTATTAGAGGAATGACTGCTATGATTCCATGACATAGCAAAAAAACCAAACAAAAAAAAAACACAACAAAAAAGAAAAAAAAACCCACAGCAAGAAAAAAGCCAACAACAAACAACAAAACAAACACAAAAATAAAAACAAAAGAAAATTTAACAAAAAAGGAAAAAAAAGGCAAAAAAAAATGAAGAAAAAAAGCAACCAAAAAAACCCCCAAACTTAACTGTCCTCTTACCCATGGGAACCATTCATCTCCTTTCCCCTCCCATCTCCCATCACAAACAACTTATATTTGCTTCTATCTGTGTAATCACAATGAATGGGTACACAGGTCCAGTGTGCCTCTGCCACTGTTGCACAAACCAGTTGACTGAGCAAACCCAAAAGGAGCATGAAGGGGGTTCCTTTTAGCTGAACAAACAAGTGCTCTCCTTACAAGGTGGGATCGGACAGTTAAAAAATGTAAAGAAATATATAACAAACTGTTGCTCCAATACCTGTTTTGAAGAAGTCCAGTCCTTTCTCACTGGTCAGTTGAACAGGAGCAGCCTTTTTTAGATACGCTATGTAAAACCAGTTATGCTCAGCAAGTTAAGTAGTTGGGAAGCCTTCATATTGGAGGTGAAGGATTGGCATTCATTGTGAATTATGTTTTTAGTTCTCCTGCTGTCACATAACCAGCAGCTTTTCACAAGGAATGGGGGCAAAGAGTTTCCAAAATCCCAGTGTTTTTGTCTCAAGAAAATTACATTAGAGCCTTTGAGTATCTGTATTACCAATTATCTCTTTGGGTTTGATTCCACTGTTTTTTTAATAAGTACATGTTGTTGAAAGTTAATGTAGTTATTAAGGGTTCAGAAGAATGTGTTAGCACAGATAAAGACACTATTTTGTTTTAAATATATAGGACAATGGTTTTCATAAATGTGCAATAAAAACAGTAAAGATGTTCTAGGATATGAGTAGTTAAGAGAAAAGATTGTAATCTGATTGCTGATTTTCCATTGTTTGGGATGGTTTTCAATTTGTTTATTTTTATTTTTGTCAGGACACTTCACCTGCTGAGTGTATGAGAATTTGCTTTTTAAAAAGGCTTTTTAGAGTTTACAGTAGAACCAATGGAAGGAAAAGTTAATAAGGGCTGTTTTTAAAAACTTTACATTCCTTCCTATTCTCTAACTACACTTGGGAAGTGCACTTTAGAGATGTTTGCTGTGTAGCTGGGAGATGAAGGAAAACTATAGGAAATGTTCTCTTAGGAAATAAAATGTAGTTATCTACTTTCTAGCTATGAAATACCCCTTGATAAATATTAATATTGTAAGAACATTTAATCAGTGGTGCATAATGTGTTTTTGTATACACTTTATGGTCTGTCAAATTCTGGACAAAAGCAAAAAGAAGATAACCACACTGCTTAAGTGGTTCAAGATGCACATGTTTGTTTTGATAGTGTTTTACTACAACCTGGACTGAGGAGCCTAAAATGATCTGTGCAAATATGACAACAACAAAAAGCACCAGCTAATGCAAAATTCTTCAGCACTGGTTGGTTTCTATAATTCCTTCCTTCCCTTTCTTGCACATGCTATATTTTGTTCAATAAAACATGGTGCTTTTTAGTTATTTTCTTTTCTGTTAGAGGCACATGCATTAATCATATTGAACTGATGCAAAAAGTGGGAAAAATGTAGAAATGCAAATGAAAAAGCCTTAACTAATGGTAGAATGTAGACTTTTGAAAGGACAGAGATGTTATTGAAAAGTGATGGAGCAATAACTGGACAGTGCTCTGGTACTGTACAACAGCTGATGAGTCACACTACTGAGAAAGCTCTTACTAGGTGAGCTCTTGTTCAACTGACCTCTTAATTCTAGTAAGTGTACATGGTCAGTAAACAGTTTGTTATAACCTTTATCTACCTCTGCTGTGCAAAGGCCATCCAACACATTTCTGTGATGTTCCTCATAGTTTTTTGTTCACACCATTACTCACTGTCATCTATTTTTACAGTAGCAAGTCTGGTTCATCCCAAGTGAATTGGCACATGAAGAAGAGTTATTATTTCTGCTTCATCTCATAGTGAATTAATGTAGAGAGCTATCTTTAAGACATTTCCTTTCTTCTTTCCTGCTCTTCTTCATCCTTCATCCCTTATTTTTCTATAAAACTTTTCAAGTGGTGTCAGTGAAAAATATGACTCCTCCACTGCTGGGCTACACTCACTCATGTGTCATACAATATGAGAGAGACATGAGGAAGAACAGTGACATCATCACATGCAGAAAGTAGCCAAATTAACCTTGGGCAAAATGAAGCAGAAAGAAATTACAGACTTTCCATTATTACACAAGTACACGATGTAATAAATTCCTTGCCCTCTCCCTACCTGGATTCAGTGCCTGCACTTCAATGGTCTGTGAATTTTCTCTGTCATCTTTTTGAGGTCTATTTCTTTAATTTTTGAAGTAAAGAGTCATTTTGCAGAGGTGACTACTGCTGGGGTATCTGTTGCCATTTTCCCACCGGCAGTGTGGTATGCAGCTTCTCTTGGTGGCACATGGGACATCAGGAGTAGACAAAGACTCTTGTATGAAGTTAAGCAACACGTAATCATGTATGATGCAAAATTCCATTCCATCCATTCCTCATTCGTAATAGTTTTCCTGGCACAAACTTAAGCATGCTTGATATTGTGCACATATTACTTTTTTGCCAGAATAAATTTGCATCTTGCCACTGCTATAAATGCCATCTTGTTCCATTTCTCCTTGTACTGTATGCCTAATAACATACATGATGAAGAGCTGGCTTAACAAAGAATAATACTAAAATATTTCTGCAAATGACTGATGAGAAGAAAAAGAAAAAAAAAAAAGTATTTATTTTATGATCATATGGAAGAGAGAAATTTCCCATCTTTTATTATCTATTTTCTGCAATAGGGAAAATCCAGATTTTGTGCAATATGTTAATACTGCTAAGACAAATGTCATAGAACATAACCAGAGCTATATGTTATTCCTTATTGCATTTGCATTCGGTAATACATTATATTGATGCTTTTCTTTCATTAAAGACACAGTATCTCTTTTTTTGAAAACATAGCAGATGGAGGCTGTCCTTCTGCACACCATAATTTAAAGGCAAAAACCAACAAAACAATGGAATGAAGTTTTATTTCTATGAATTATGAAAGCAAGCCATCAGCTGCCAAAGAATCTGTGTAACAATAGATACAAACCAAACACAGACTTTCAAGAAATTCCTTCTTGGAGGTTAAAAATCACATTACTCTAAGTGAGGAAAGGAGAAAAAAAACAAGAGCTATATTTGGAACAGCAGAGATGGCAGGTTTCATCTGGTACATGATGTGGCTCTCAGCTTATATAGTTATACTCTTTGATTAAAAAGTGAGGGACAAGGACATTGTCTTCTGCTCTCTTCTATTTCTAATGATAATGAATTTCCTTTTTGTAACTGTTGCCTCACTGCACAGAAGATACCTGCTTTTTGTGAGAGCTGAAGACAACTTATCTATGTGCACACAAATTTACACAGTGAAACCTGTCTTAAGAGACTACCCAAAGCACAAACAAAACTCATTTGCAAAGTAGAGGTAGCTTTCAGGAAAGTAAAACAAATTTGTCCTAGGGGATTTCAAGACAGATGTAAACAGTCACCTAAGCAAGATGTCTGTGAAGGTACATGGTCCTTACTGCAGCTTTCACTGTATACCTCTCATCAGTGTCACAGCCTGCACAGGCAGCCTTCTAGCTGGGCTCAGAGTCACACTGACTTCAGTGGGCCTCCATACAGGTACAGGCATGCACCCCAAAAAAATTTGCTGTAGCACATATGTCTCAATTTGTTGTCCCATAGTCTTTACTCAGGAATTGCTCATGGGCATAGTGCATCAACAGTGGGTGAGGCACTGGAGGTTGACCAGGGAAGTTTTGGATGCCCCTCCTTGGAAGTGTTCAAGGCTAGGTTGGATGGGGCTTCAAGAAATCTGGCCTGGTGGGAGGTGCCCCTGCCCATGGCAGTGGGGGTTGTAACTAGGTGATCTTTAATGTCCCTTCCAACACAAACTGTTCTATGATCAGTGGGTTCAGCCCTAACCAACCAAGTCTTAACATGAGACTGGCAATGGCATATTAATGGTGAATGGTTCTGGTTTGTTATTATTGCCTACTGTTATATTAATTTAGTGAAGGAGTGGTTTCAAAATGTAACTAGGAACATGGAAGAGAAACTAACAGAAACCTTGTTCAAATTCAATATCAAATTCAATAGCCTTTCTGAAATAGAAAGAGGGTCTGTCATCTGTCAGCAGCTGTCAAGAAACATCAATACTTTAGAAAAGCTTGGGAAAATAATATGTTCAGTTCTGAATATGATAGCTCTCATTAAAACTAGATTTTTGGATGGCAAATAGGACTGGAGCACATACCATCTAAATCGAAGGATTTAATTTGCCAATATGTTCTGCAACAACACTGAGCAATCATGATTACTGAACACCTCTAAGTTTTCCCATGTTTTACAGCATTTTTTCAAACACTAACAAGCTTGATCTGTCCCTGGAAGGGGAAGAAAGGAGAGAAAACTGAATGATGAAACAAACAAACAAAAACATATATAGTT